GGGGCCCGGCCGTTGGCGTAAAGATGGGCCCTGCGGAGCACGAAGAGGTGGGGGCAGGAAAAAAAAAAAAGCGTGAGAGGAAAGTTTTGCTCAGGAACCGTGGGAAAGCGTGTGTGCTGGTGGCAGCCTTGCCCTGGAGTTCGGCAGCAGGATTTAGCAGGTCCTTTTAGAAGTGGCTAAGAAGTGGTCTCCTTTTCTTTTCTTGGTTAACGACTTGGTTCGGTAACTAAGAATAATGGTCTAGTGCTTTAACTTCTGCACAGCCTTTTAACGTTATTTTGCTGCTGCTAGTTAATCCCCAAAATAAATGCCTGAGAAGTGGCAAAAGTGTCTCATCCTGATGCTAAACCAGAGGCAGAACCAGGAACTGGGGACAACTCAAACTAAGTATTTCAAAATATTCTTAAGTGATTGGGCTAAAAAAGTATGACAAAGATCATCAGAGTCAATGGAGACAGGGAAATACTTTGTTTACAGTCGGTGTAGTTCATTAATGACAGTCAAAGAAGTAAGCTGTTAAAAACCATGTTATGTGAAGAGTGTGGAGAAAAGCGAGTGGAGAACAGCTGGGTTGTCTGGTACAGTGAAATGCATTTTGCCTATCTTCATATTTCTTTGTACTGAAAACAAAATCAGTAAGTGTGCAATAGGAGTTTGGGATGCCATGATATGCTGTGGCAGATGGAGGTCTGAGAAGTGCTTCCCATACAGGAAATACCGCGTGGATGATTTTAGATAGGGTGGTTTAGAAGCTTTGTGCTCCTAAGGAAACTTTTTCTGATTGCAGTGATTCCAAGTGTAAATCGGTTCAGATGCTGACCTTGTACAAAACTCAAGTCACTATTTAAATTAGGACACTGGCGACCTCTTTCTGACCTCAAGGCATGCTTTGTTGACAGTCAGAACAGGAAGGAGAGCCAGTCAGTTACTTGTATTGTCAGGGTTATTGGAGTCCAAAGAATTGTTGGGGACAGCTTGTCTGGTGGTTTAGTGGATCTGTGCCAAATTTCTGCCACGAGTGATAGCAATCCAACCGTATTTAATGTGTAGTATATTATTACGTCGTTGGACTCTGCTCTCAGGCCCCTGAGCACACTCCTCTTCCTCTGGGAGTGCTCCAGGCCCGCTCCCTGACAGAGAAGGCCACTTGGGAAACCCCGCTGACCTCAAGGCTGGAGCAGGCTCCAGCGGCGCCTGCTCCCAGCGAGCGGCTCTGCTCAGAGCCAGCCTGGGGGCTCCCTGCCCCTCTTTGTGGGATCTGCTTTTAAACAGAGGACCTGGTGCTTGGCTCGCTCCTCAGCTGTTGTTGTGATGCCACGTACCCCAGCCCTGACCCACTGACTCGACTTACTGGCATGACCTCCAGACCTGCCTTGTCAGCAGGTAGCTCACCAGGCCATCGCTGGGCTGCATCTGGACCTGTTGCTTTCTCTGCACCTGATCCTTTCTCTGCTTTCTCTGGCTTGCTGACTCAACTTCCTGATTTGACCTTGGACCTGCCTCATCACCACGGACTTGTCTGGTGAACCGGACTCTTGGCTGAACCGGGTTACTGTCGCAGGGCCTGCCCTGCTCACCTTGCCGAGGTACAGCGGGACTGCGCCCTTGCTGACAAGGCCGCTGCCCTGCTTGCCTTGTCATGCTGCATTCCCACCTCCCCTGACCTTGCAAGGTTATATGAAAAGATTCCAGGAAAGAGAAAGAATATTAACATCCCCAAATGTGTAGAATAAAATCAATGTTACGATGGAGAGAACGAACCCCATAAAACAAGTAGATTCTGTTATTAGGCATCTAAGGAGAAGGAATAACTAAGCTGCAGCCCATGTATGTATTGGGGGAATTTCTGCCCCATCAGGTTAGATAAGCAATTGCTAAAATAGACACAAGTTATCAGAAGCAAAATTTCCTAGCAGGTTCTTTATGCATTGACCTTATATTTTGTCAGGCTGCTGATCAGTTAATGGGCCACAGCAACAGTATTGCCACCAAAAAGAAACAAAGATGTTGAAATAAATTTTAATATTAAATAGTTATGTTGGCAATGTGCCTCAATGGAAAGGAATTTTCTGAGCGCATATTTTTCTGAGCAATGTATCAGCTAATAGAAGCACACAACTTATTAGAAAAAAATGATTCTGTTAATACAGACTTGGGGCTTCATTCTGCTGTCACATCTGAAAGCATGTATGACTCGACTAACTGGATGTACTTCTACTGTAGAATTTATATGAGAAAGAGTCAGATTATATGGTCATCAAATACTATCCGTCGTATTTTCGTGCTTCGTTACCAAAACACTTCTTATTCTGTTACGTTTCTGTTACCATAGCATAGGGAATAAGAGCTGTGAGAGAAGGATGGATCCCAGTCTGATTCATACAACATCAAAGCTGATAATCACAGAATTTTTATCATAAGGTGTTATGCGTGCCAGAAAAAGCTTAGCTTGTCTCTTGTTTCTTAAGTGATGCTTTAGTTACTTAGCTAGTACAGATGAAAGCATGGATACTTCTGAATGAGCAATATCTTAATAGTGAACTGATGAGTTTATGAGTGCTTAGTCACTGTGATGATGTAATTGGCATGGGAAGATGGACATAATGAGTTTATTTGCAGTTTCTGTAGTTTTATGGCACTGCTACTGTTACTTCGAATGAAATGTGTGCTATTGGTGATCCCTTGTTATTGTTTCTTTTATTACTTCTAACAGAAACATAAGTAAGGTTCGTATCATAAAGATATTTACTTGAAATGTTGTAGTAGGTTGGGCTGCAAGCAGCTCAGCATCTATTGGCACTCTGAAAACTTTTTGATTAAGAAAGAACTGAGGAGCAAAAAAAAATAAATCAAGAAAAAATGCTTTAGGAAAGAAGTATCTCAATATTTTGCTTCCAGGGGATTTTTATGTAATGTGAAAAGAGGTGATTTTTAAAATGGTGATCATTTCCCTACGATATCTCTGAAATAGTTTAATTCAGTCTGGGTTGACTAAACATTTTTCATTTAAATTCAGTAATCAGACTGTCTGAAAACCCACCTCTCATTCATGATGAGGTAATGTCTCTCCTGCAAGTAAAGCAACTGCTTACATTGACAAGATAGGGAGGAAAAAATAGATGAGTGCTTTCCCTTGTAAGACCATCCATTTGCATAAAGCTGTTCTAGAGGAGACAGGAATTATATAATATTACAGATAACAAGATTACGTAGTTTGCTCTTTAGTATGATGGTAATAATATTTCTCTGTCTCTTCCCTGCTACTATATTTAGCATAGTGATGCATCTGTCTCCCCTTCTTTACAAATATGGCAGGGGAGAAGAGAGTTGTTCAAGCAGTAGGATGATAGCACAAGGACAAATCCTATAAACATGATTTACTATCATAAATTTAGGCTAAGAAATGGAAAAAGGAGCCAAGTTATAATGACAAGAAGGTTCTGAACATTTCATCCTATAGCTCCAATGAAGAACAAAACAATTATTTCTTTTAAGATAGAATTTGATTTAGTTATGAGAGGAATTGTATACTCTAATCCCTGAGCTAACTGCTGAGTGAACTCAGTATCGCAGGAAGCCTCTTCCAGTCCTATATTCCTAACTGGGCAACTCAAGCAAGTAACACACACCACTTAGCACTCAAGTCAACATGAGTTATTGTGCTGATTTTCAAGGAAATTATATCATGTATTTATTGATGAGTATCAATGGGGAATTTGGGTAAGATGTTATCAAGGATGCTGATGTAGGAACATTGCAAGTTTTGTGTGTGTGTCATGTTTATCCCTTTATCTCTTTTTAAATATTGTACCTCATTCTAAAGACTCAGAAGAGACATTCGGAACTTACAAACAGCTATGGACAGCTCAGTTGTATAGAAATTTCATAAAATCCCACGAGTCCTTTTGCTATTTCCTGTAAATGTGCAAATTTTTATAAATTATCTGAAATGTTTGTTACTTTAGTAAGTGAAGTGAGAATGTTGACTTTTCCTGCTTTGTGGTTTGTGGCTCACATAATGATAGGTGTTATGTATTTTGATAATTCTTTCAGCTTGTGAGCAAGATTGCACCTTGTTTTGATGGTGTCTATCAGCCTTACTGAAGTTGGTTGGAATTTTTGGCAGTGGAATACAGAGAACGAGGATTCTGGCTCCTATTAGAGGTATGAGAAAAGACAATGTGGGTTTAAGAATATTTAACAGTACAGTAAATTGCAAACATTACACTGTTAGCATTACTATGTTTACCTTCAATGGAAAAAGAAACTGAGGATATAGATTCATAAAAGGTCAGTCTTGCTCTTTCCTCCACCTTCAGACACACTTTTCTGCCTCCGCCCTTGCTTCGGCATAGCTGCTTGTGGGGCTGTGTGGTGAGCCAATTTAGGC